AACGGTTGTACTCTGGGTTTTCCTTTTAATATATTTTTTCTTGTTTTAAAAAAAAATATTATTACTTTATGTGGAGCTGTTTTTTCTTAAGATGGAACCCAAAAAAAAAAAATTTATAAGTTATTACAATTTGGAGTTTATTCCTATACATAATTGATCTCAAGTTGGGACCGAAGTTTTTTATGACTTTAAGCAAGGACATAGCTGTATAGGGCCTAGGGGCCCAATTTTGTGTGTGTGTGTACTTTTGCATTCTAATTCCCAAGCCCTAATTAAACTACAAATAAAAAAAAAGGATTGCATTTCAATTTTACATCAGTTCTAATTAAACTATAAAAAAAAATGGTCCAGTGGAAAAAAGACAAGGTGTACCCGCTAGTTTATATACTTGTGACATTAGCACTAATTCTTTCAGTTGCTACTGCCACCGTTGAAAAAGCATTTTTGGCCATAAAATTTCTGAATTGATTGAGAAATCGAATGGAAAATCAATGGATGAATGATAACATGATTATTAAACTACAAATGAAGGGGATGGGATTTCGAGGGTGGGGTGATGGGATATGGGTTTCGTTTTTTTTTTCAATTTTTTAATATTTAGTTAATATTTAATTAATATTTTATTGATTTTTTTAATAGAAAGTGGGCTCCGCCTCATGCCACGTCACAATTTAACAGAGGAATTGACAGACAATTGATGGAAGGTATGACATTGCAACAAATTCGAAGATAAGGTATGACATTGAAACTTTTCAAAGACGAGGTATGAAACTATTAATGACCCAATAATTGAGGTAGTTTTATGTAATTTACCCTAAGTTATATGGTCTTTGCCAGAGATCATAACAATCAATCATTCAATCTACATTTGCATATTCCAGTAAACCCTGATGAGAGAAAAGGACTTACTTGCAGTGGAAGACATTACAATAAGGTTTAGTGTTTGATCTTCCCTTTTTCGAAATCCTTTAGCGTTCTTTGCTCTCAATAGGACTAGCAACCATAAGAGAACGACAACGATTTGAGAAAACGGATCAAGCCACTTGTACGATGCAAATGCTCTTCCTATCGTGGAGATAGTTGCCATCAACTTCAGAGAGTTTGTAATCAACTCTAATTCTAAGAATTAATTATATTAATTCACTTCATTAAACGAATATTAAGTTAACGTGTATTAAGTCTAAACATATCATAATCACTTATTTACTTTTTATCTAACAAACCAAAATAAATGGTTTGATCAACTCAGATATAAAAAAAAAACTCTTACATTCTCCCACATGAGTGTAATCAAACTATCAACCAATATTATATCTAAAAAGTAAATGGTGATTACTGAATCATGATGAACATAATGACCTTCCAATTCAATTCAATGATTTATTAGTTGAACTTCAGACAACTTAATAGATAAAAGTTATATAGTATTAGTGTTCTAACATTACAAACTAATCAAACCCAGGAAGAATTGAACTTAAAAGAAACTTTAGATGAGAGTCAAATCATACACTTGTATGACTCCCACATTTTGCTTGACCTAATGACGCTGCAAATGTCATTCTTTATTCCATATTTTTGCACAAAATTACAAAACAGAAATACGAACTTGACTGGACTTGAGCTTTTACTAGTGAATTACATTGTCTTGTAAATCATCTTGCAAACTTAATAAGCACAATTTCTGATCAAAACATATACATAATATGGTGAAAAATTATCTTACTTCCACATTCAAACGTTATCCGTGATTGCATGCATACCCATATTTGGCAAAAGCCTTTGAAATGCTGTTATTCATGTAAGGCTTTTGTCAATGGATCCGCAATCATGTGCTCAGTACCAATATACTCCATTGACTGTCCCTTTTCTGGTTTCATCTTGGAGCTTCAAATACTTAATTTATATGAGTCTTGAAGCTTTTGATCTTCTATTATTTTTGGCAAAGAACACCGCTGAAGTATTGTCACAGAAAATCTTAATTGGTCTTTCAACACTTCTCACTATCTTCATGTCATAAATCAGATTTTGTAACCACACAGCTTGCGTCATTGCTTCAAAACAACCCATGTATTATGACTCCATTGTTGAAACTGCTATAGTGGTTTGTTTTTTACTTCTCCATAAAACAACACCATTGGCTAATATGAATATATACTAATTAGTTGACATTCTATCATCTATGCAACCAAGTAAATCAACATCACTATAACATATTACTTCCAAATTCTCAACTCGATGAAAACCCAAAACATAAGCTTGTGTCTTCTTCAAGTACCTCAATACATTTTTACCTATATTCCAATAAGCTATACTAGGATTTGATTGAAATATACCCAACAGACTCGGTGCAAAAGCCAAATCATTCCTAGTGCAAACTTGTGCATACATCACCCTACCAACTAGGTAGGCATATGGCTTGTCCTTCATAGCTTGGATGCCATGATCAGTGATAGTCATTGGACTTTGTGATAGAGAAAACTTGTCACCTTTGACAATGGGAACATCACCACTACTGCAATTCTCCATGTTAGACCTTTTGAGAACTCGACCAATGTAATTCTTTTGAGACAACCCAAACATTCTCTTCATCCTACTCCTCAAAATCTCAATGCCTAAAACATAGTAGGCTTCACCCAAATCCTTCATATCAAAACGGTTGGACAACATTTCCTTAGTCTAATATAACAATTGCATATTTGAACTTGCCAAAAGTATGTCATCAACATAAAGAACCATAAATATGAAATAGGACTTATGCCGTTTCATGTAAATGCAGTTATCAATCTTGTTTTCCACAAATCCAAATGATTGCACAACTTGAGTAAACATTTTATACCATTGCATAGAAGCTTGTTTTAGTCCATAAATAGACTTGTTGAGTTTAGATACCTGGTTCTCCTTCCCCCTTTCAACAAATCCTAGTGATTGGTTCATGTTGATGTCTTCACCAAGAATGCCATTGAGAAATGCATTTTGACATCCATTTGGTGCAACTCTAAGTCAAAATGAGCTGTGAGGGCCATGATAACTCGAAATGAATCTTTGGTAGACACAAGTGAAAAAGTTTCAGTATAATCAACATCTTCCCTTTGTGTAAAACCTTTAGCCATAAGTCTGGCCTTAAACCTTTCAACTCGTCCTTGTGCATCACGTTTTGTAGCCAATTCGTTTAAGGTTAGGAGAACCTTCAACCAATGACCAAACACCATTCTTTGCCATTGAATCCAACTCTTCTATCATTCCAGCTTCCGAAAGAGCACTTTGTGAACTCTCAATTGCTTGTTTATAAGTTACAAGATCATCATGGCCACCTATGTCATATTCAACTTCTTGCAGACAACACATATAATCACTAGGTATGGCAGATTTCTTGTTTCTTGTGGATTTTATCAACACAGGTGGAGGGTCGTGGAAAGATGTGGCTGCTGCTTCCGTCACTATTGTTGGTGGATGTGAAACTGTCTAAGGTTCCAATTCATCAACATGTTGAGCTGTATAAGCCAATGTTTTAGATTCATTGTTGAGATCATGGACTAATGATGAAACTTGAATTGTAGCATTGTATACGATGCAACTGCTTTTCCTATCGTGGAGATAGTTGCCATTTGTGTTGTAACCAACTCTAAGAATTAATTATATTAATTCACTTTATTAAACCAATATTAAGTTAACGTGTATTAAGTCTCAATATATCATATCCCTTATTTTCTTGTTGTTTGACATACCAAAATAAATGGTTTGAAATGTTAACATGGTATCATAGTGGGTTCCTTGAACCCGACCCTCAGAGGGGATGACCTATTGATGACCTTAACTCAGATGATGACTCAGACTTCTGTGCCTTGTCACAAAAAGAGGTTACGAACAGGGTTTAGGGTTCAACTATGTGATGAAGATTATAAAATTATAGGAAAGTGTCAGGGAAACAAAGTTTTGTATCAGATAAGTTGCAAATAATATATAAATATCATGTTAATTAAAGAGTTCAAGAAGTGATTTTTACACACCATTTTAGTTTCTTACATATCTCTTTATTTATGATCATCAGATTGAATAAATCAAACGAGAGAAATGTGTAAGATTATAAAATAGATGTGTGACAATCACTTTCCAAAAAGTTTATTTAATTAGATGTTTGTTTACTCTAATTTATAATAGAATTGGAGGGGGGGGGGGAGTGAAAGTATTATGGAATGTCATTGAAATTTGATTAAAAGTGGGTATATTATATTTTCGCCGGCATTAGTAATATTGGGGATTTTTATTAAATTATAATTAAAAAAGAAATATACAATTAATCAAACTAGAACATATACTTCATAGTGACCAATTAATTATTGAATTACTGATTAGGTGATACTTCTCTTCATAGTACATGAAGAATTTTCAAATTCGAAAAAAGCAACCCCATTATGTGGATATGAAAAACGTGAAAATAAATTCTTTTCAAATGAAAATATTAATGATAAAAAAATTGTTTGGTATATTAATTTATTTAATTATTCCAAATAATACCATAAGATTCCATTCATAATAATTCTTCAGCTGTCGCACCCACAATGTCATCATGACAATGCCACCACACCTGCTTTCGTTCAATTTACACGTCCTCTTCCATCAACAGTATATTCTAGAATAAAGCTGGAGGAGAAAATTTTAATTGTTATCGGAACACAAATAGTATATCATGTGTTTTAATAGAAGTGATGGAAAAATTTATTTTTTAAGCTATTAACTTTTTAGCACACATATCCCACCATTTGTATAGTGACACGAGGTGTACCACTTCGTGTACCAATCACACTAAAGAATCTCTTATGCTAGAGAGACTAAATTCGTAAACTAATTATTAAAAATTAAAAGATATGAAAGTTGATGATTGATTTATTACTTAAACATTGATAAACGTGTCTATTTCTATTGATGATATATAATTTAGTTTATTTTTCAAATTTAGTTTCCTTGCCCTACCCTGTATTCAAATCTCACACTAAACAAATTATGCTCGATTGTATTTGTATATAAACCATAAAGTCAGAACACAACATATTCGAAACCTGCAATTCCAAATTCATTTCCAGCCATGGCCAAAACCTCCCAAACCCTCCCAGATCTACCATCTACCCTACTCATATTTTCCTTCACTGTTCTCTTCTCTACAACCCTAGGGCTCAAAAACCAAGAAAAGCTAAGCCACCTCCATTTCTACTTCCATGACATAGTCAGCGGTCCAAACCCTGCTGCCGTCTGGGTTGCCCAAACACCCATCTCCAAAAAATCTCCAACCCTATTCGGCTCTATAGCCATGTTCGACGACCCGCTAACCGTAGGCCCCACAAGGAGCTCCAAACTTGTGGGGAGAGCACAGGGGTTATACGGGTCAGCCTCACAGAGTGAAGATGCTTTGTTGATGGCCATGAACTTCGTATTTTATGAAGGCAATTATAATGGGAGCAGTCTCAGTGTGCTGGGTCGAAACTCCGTGCTTGAAGCCGTGAGAGAGATGCCGGTAATCGGTGGAAGTGGGGTTTTCCGGCTGGCTCGCGGGTATGTTCAGGCGAAGACTGTCACGTTTAATGCAACTAGTGGGGATGCTCTTGTTGAATATGATGCGTTTGTCTTCCATTATTGACTTGTCTGCTTTTCTCATCTCCACAATGCTGTCTTCGCTGTGTTTTGGTCAAAGTGTAGTAGGTGGAGTGGTGGGGTTTTGCTTTTTGGTGTATAAACAAAATTTAAGTTTCGCTTTATTTCTTGTAATTGAAAAGTGGTTCCTTAATCTCTTAAAACTCATATTTCATTCATTTTACCATGTTTTTGTGAACTCCATCCGAGTTCGGTTAAGTATGCAATTACGTGGAAGGGATATTAGCAAAGTTTGCTCAAACATTACAAAGCCTTGAATAGGCTCAAAATTCACTGAGTAAATATACCCCTCGAATGTGTTATGCGCTCAAACTTCAGAGCCTCAAGTTCCATAGCCAATGGCTACTTTGTCAGCTTTGTCACCTACAACTTTATTAACCAAGGTGTTTAAATGATGAAATATACAGATAGGAAAGAATACAGTGCGACTAATAAACACATAAGTCCTCTGTGCCATTATCCTAAATCGATCTAGCACTGTTATATCGGTCCTGATGTCGTATTCGATCTTGGTTGAGTGTGACAGGAGGGGGAAGTGGGAAGAAAGAATAGAGTTGTGGTTTTGGCACATACTAAATGCCACTCTATATTTCACATTTCAGGGTTCAGCCTAAATGCCTCTCTATATTTCACATTTCAGATTCTGAAACCCATATTATTACCTTCATGGTCCTAGCGAAAACTGTTAGCATTCAAACGGGACGAATTGATCACTCAACTATGAAGAGGAAGTACGTACGTACCTCTCTTCAATTTGCTTCAATTGTCGGTGCTAGGTTTCGTCTTTGATGAGATTACGGTTGATCTAAGAAAGAAACACACAAAAAAAATAAAATAAAATAAAATTCGCATGAACACAACATACCTATGCCAAAATCCAAAGTAAATATAACGTGAAGAGGAGTACATTACAATAGAAACTCACATCTTCAACACCATTTTTTCCACCAGACATTTCTCCAGTTTCACTTGAAAAAACCCGCATCTTGGAATTTAGAGCTCTCTCTACTGCTTTGGAAACTGAACTTTCCATCGTACTTTTGGCCTTCATAAGTTGAGATTCATAGTACTAACACAGTATACATACATCAAAACAAATTTTGTAGTCTACTGAATGACCATACACTAGGGTAAAAGGAAAAGTAAGAGCACACAGAAGGCATTAAGGGTGGGGTTCGTTGACAGCCTACTTGTCTTTGAGTCTCAAGCTGACTTGCAAGAAGTCGGTTATACTCGTTAACAATGTGTAGCAGCACAACATCTAAAGATCTGTCATTCGAATAAAACGAAAAAGATGCATAGAGCTAGCTAAAGTACACAATTTCAACTTTGCGGGCTCCGCCAATTCCAAGAGTCGTCACTACATTTACATGCATCGCAACCCCCTTCCGGTGAATACGACGAGTATCCATACCAGTTATTACTTCGCCATCAACTTTCGCTTGGTTCAGGCGGTGAGCATAAGCATCACCAACATAATCCCACATCTGCTGCCTGTCCAAATAAAGCATATAGCAATGTTTTCCAATGCCTAACAGCATGGCCTTCTGTCTATATATCTTTGTTTGGAGAAAAAAATTCTGTATAATTTTCTGTTTCGGCTGGATGAAACTTAATTAAGACATCGCCATAGCACATCAAGTAAATAATACATGGGAATATTGCTTTCTTGCACTGGATGCAAAAATAACCTCCTAAGAAAAAAAAAAAAAAAAAAAAACTAGTTTACCTTCCACACCACATGTTACGCGAACCCTGGGATTCACCGAAATTTCCCAGACAGGAAAACTAACTCACTTGATAACTAAGTCCATATTGAAATGCAGGGACATTGAAAAGACTGGTTACAAAGCATACTCACTATTCCGCTAGTGCCGCCATCCAATCTCTCTACGTTCAAACAAAAGTTAACCAAAATAGCATATACATTGCGCAATATAACTATGGGAAAAAAAATAAATCAATAGAGCAACTCATCTACGATGACAATTTTATCATGGTCATTAAGAGTCCGTTGTAAAAAATACAAATTTATCACGGGCATAATGGGCACATGGTGAATAACAAATTTTTAACACAGGCAAATTTTAATCCATGGCAACAAATAATTAATGATCATGCGAAAGTTGCATGTTGTAAATATACTAAGCCACCACGCGTGATGCTTGTGGTCAATATGGTTAATATCCACAATGCCTTTTTATTATCTACCATAGGCATAACGTGTGGTACAATCATTTATAAGTAAAAAATAATAATTAGAGAAGGTAGGACACCAAATTTTGCAAAATTTTAAACAATCTTTGAAATTTGACAAATTCACTTTGCGTGCTCTCTGCCTTCTTTATGCCCATCTCTTCCACTTTATCTTCCCTTTCCCTTTTTCAATTCGTTAATTTCTGTTATCTCTCTTTTTCTCTCTCTCTCAGAGCAACTCCAGCGTTGCAAATGCCCTCTAGGGCAACTCACTATTGAATAGCCTCTAATGAACAGTAGCTGCCTTTTGCATCTCTACCCCTACACTAAATAGCCATGGCAATAGGCAATAAATATTAATATTTTTTATTTCATAAAATAATACAAAATAATTTTATTTGTAATTTCAGATAAGATTTTTAATCGTTCTCGTTGTGCCACGTGTCATTATCTGATAAGACAATTTTTTGTGATAGATTTCAATAAGATATTTATCCAATGCCCTTGTGCCACGTGTCGTTAGCTTGTCAGAATCGTTAAGGATAAATTTCCGATAAGATTTTTAACTAATCACATTGCGCCATGTGTCACAATCTGAAGACAATCTTTCAGGATAAATTTCGATTAGATTTTTAACGAATAACTGCATGCCACGTGGCATTATCTACAACCTAATCCTTTCTTTTTCCTCCATATAACCCACCATCCCGAACTAGAAATCACACACCAAAATCAAAATCTTTGTCATTATTCATAGTTCATGCTTCCTTCTTACAATGTCTTCTTCTTCAAGGATGTTGTGGGAAATCAAGGAGCAAGAGAAAGAATTGCTTAAGCAAGGGGAAGAAATGTTCAATCTCCAAGTGGCCCAAAATGAGATGTAAGACGAAGAGGATGAAGAGCGTAGAAGGAAAGATGACAAAGCAAGAAGCCAAAGGGCCTCACATTCCCATCGAGTCATCCAAGATGTGACTTAGATCTGCAGGCCCAACCGTTCCACAAACCTTGATAGAAGCGGGCAATGACGAGGTATGGATCTCTTCGACGATTATTTTGTCTGTAACAGTACATTCCCTAATACGTACTTTAGACGTCTTTTTAGAATGGAACAACATTTGTTCAACAAAATCATGATTGCTGTTTGCAACCATGATTCTTACTTTGTGCAAAAGAATGATGCTTTTGGTGTTATGGGTCTCCTTCCTGAGCAAAAAATTATTGTTGCCTTGCGGATGCTCGCATATGGAGCATCTGCAGACCAAGTAGATAAGGCAGCAAGGATGGGGAAATCAACCATTCTTGAGTCCCTGATGAGGTTTTGCTTCGCAATCGAATCTCTATACGCAGCAGAGTACCTCTAGAAACTTACTGAGATGGACTGGCAAAGGCTTCTGAATAAGGCCGAGATGCAAGGTTTTCCTGTGATGATTGGAAGCATCAACTGTATGCACTAGACCTGGAAAAACTGTCCAAGTGCATGGCAAGGAGCTTATGGGGAACAGAAAATGAGCAAAAAGTATCATTTTGGAGGCGGTGGCATCATTTGATACATGAATTTGGCATGCTTTTTTCGGTGTTCCAGGGGCTCAAAATGACCTTAATGTCCCTACCCAATCCCTAGTGTTCAACGATGTCCTGCAAGGAAAAGCACCAAGAGTCATGTACTGGGTCAACGAAAATAAGTACCGGGCCATACTACCTAGCAGACGATATTTACCCAAGATGATCATTGTTTGTCAAAACAGTGCCACGTCCACGAAGTGCAAAGGAAAAACACTTTGCAAGCTATCAAGAGGGGTGTAGGAAGGATGTGAAGCGTTGTTTTGGTATCCTTCAAGCTTGTTGGGCGATTGTTAGGGGTGCTACCAAAATGTTTGATTTAGAGTCGCTTCGATCCATCATGATGACGTGCATCATTCTTCATAACATGATTGTGGAAGATGAGTACAATTATGATGCCGTTGATGAATATGAGCCAGACACGATTAACAATTCCAGAACACAAATATTTTGTGCTCTTGATGCCACCGAAGAACCTATGCAACACGAGTCATTACAAAGGGATGAATGTTACAATGAAAGGCTCATTCAACAATATACTGCTATTCAGGACCCATATATGCACAATGCCCATCAAATTGACTTGATAGAGCACCAATGGGAATTGAAACAACCTTAAGAAACTTAAGTTCATTTAGTGTGTTTGTTTTTATTTGGTATGTTTATTTAATTTTATTTGGTGTGTTTTTAAAGTTCATTTAGTGAGTTTTTTTTTATTTGGTGTGTTTATATTCTTTGAATAAAGATTCTCTTAGTTTAAATAAATTACCAAATTAAATAAATATACTCTTAAGTTTAAATAAAGTACTAAATTCAATAAATTGAACACAACATAAAGTACTCTATTCAATAAATAAGAAATTACAACCCAAAGTGATTGGAAAATTATGGGCTCTGATTAAAAACAAATTCCCTAGTTCCTCGTGAATGGAAAATCATCACCTAACCAATTTGTGGTGCTAGGATCATCTCCTATTGTGGTGCTAGGGCCATCTCCTCTTGTGGTGCTAGGACCATCTCCTCTGGCTCTCGCTTTCCTTGCACGCCTCATTCGCACCACGTCCGCTTTCTCCGAATTCCAAAAATATTTAGAATTAAGTGACTTCCCCTCTAAAGGATCATTCATAATGTCACGATCTTGTTGAACCGTTTTTTATTCTTTAATCTCTTCCCTTTCTTGCCTAAGTATCTCTCTTTCTCTCTCATTAGCTTGAAATAATCTCTCAGTAGCTGCAGCTTTTGCCTCATCTCTAGCCTTATTAGCCTCAAATTTAACCATTTCCCGCGCCAAAGTCAATTCACCTTGGTGAGCAAGTTCTTCCATATATTTTCCATAATCATTCTTGGAAGCACTCCCTTTTCTCTTTGAAGCCTTCTAACCTTGACGCCTAATTTTAGAATGGGTCGACCTCGACGCTTGTTTCGGGGAGGGGGCGTTTTCGGCACTTCTTCTACGTCATCTTCATGAACATGCGAAGCATGATCGGGCATACAGTGTAGAGGGGTGTTGTTCATGACAACTTATGGACCGACAGGAACAACTCTAAATTTAGGACAATCTTTGACAATATTCCAACATTCCCACCGATTGAATGATTTGTTTTTTCTTTTGGTTTTGGCATTATACCAAGTTTGTGCTTGAAGTGTCTACACAATGCAGGAGAAGAAATAATTATAATCAAAGTAGCTAATGTAAATTTGGGTATAGTACAAACAAATAAATAATATATTGTTACCTAATCCGCTAAATTTTCTCCACTTCGAAGATTACTACTAACTTGTGCCAAGTCATCTCTCCACATACTAAATGATTGGCTGAGTATTTTCCAACGACTGGACATCAATTCTTTGGTTCTTTTCCCACCAATTTTCTCAAGATAATTGGTATGAATAAGACTCCACATTTCTCACAACTGCATCTCATTACCCGTAATTGGATCATGAATAACTTCAACCCAGCTAGAACACAACGTAACATCTTCAATAATTGTCCAATTTGTACTTGGATCATTAGTCATTTTGTTGGAAAACAATTTTGATATAGAAATATAGGAATGTGGTTGAAAGTATTTGAGAAAATATGAAATTGTGATGTAAGGTAGAAAATAATGAGAAGGTATTTATAGAAAAGTAAAATCATTTTTTTTAAATTTCGGATTTTTTATTAATTTTTTATGTTTTTTATTCACATAATTAATTTTTTGCTGTTGGATTAAAAAAATTTTGAAATCCAACCCTCTAGATTGTGCCATGTGGCACAACGGTAATATTTCATTTTTTTACTGTTATTTTTTTTAATCTATAGGTGAATAACGTGGACCATTGATCTCAAATCCAATGGCTGAAATTAATGAAGGTTTGAATTTTTTTTTTTACTGTTGGAAATCCAACGGTCCATAAAAAGTAACCATTGAAATCCAACGAACGTGAAGAAGCCACATGTCCCACGTAACGGTAACATTTCAGACTCTGCACCGCGGGCCCCATGTTTAAAAACCTGTCGGGGACGCACCCCCGCGCACGCTTAAAGTGCACGAGCCTGACGCAAAAAAATTTGAAACATGGCTGACGTCGCCCTGACGTCAGCCTTGCATCACCTCCACCTCGGGCTCTCGGGCCACCAATTTGTGTCGGGCCTGTTGCTCGAGCCCTATCTGGGGCTGAAGCTCGCATGGGTTGGAGTTCATTGCCTCAACAATTTAGTCCTGTGCAATCCACGATCCATCGGGTACAAGCCCCTGTTGGACTTCTATAATTACTCCAATCCCAAGTCCCCACTAGTACCCATGTTCATACTTCTTGTCAAACCTTCTTCACATTTCCCATTTCGTCCCTCTGCAGATGCCAAAAGAACCCTTTATCCTCCTCCGAGCCAACTCAGTGGAGATGGGACTATGCGCACCAGAACCTCTTCAAAACTGCCATCAAAAGCTTTATTTTTATAGCAATTTTCCCCAATTTCGTTGAAAACCTTATAAATTCGGTCTTTGTTTCGCTCTCTTTCTCACCTTCTCCGCTCATTCTGTTGATCCGCATGTCCATCGCTCCGTTGAATCTCATCTCTTCGCCAGCCAATAGGAAGAGTTTATATTTGGATGAATATTCCTTTTTTTTTTGTTGGGTAAGTTTGATTTCGTTTGTATCTTATTTTTTAGATATTCCTTTATTAATGAGCCCTTGATAACAATTTGTCGCAATAATATTTTTCTTGTTAAAAAACTATTCCTATATTTATTCTCTCTTATGAATGATGGTGGATGACGATTGGGTTGTAGGGCAACTTAGAAATTGGTATGCATATATTTGGACTGATTTTAGGGTTAGGGTTTTGAATTTGATTCTCTATATTCTCACTCAAATTTTGGAACCTTCCTCTTGTATTTTAATTTTTTATTGTATTTGTTCTAATACTGTTGTAGTTGTTTTGTTGGTTTGATCACAGCTTCCATTGGGCCATCATATGGTTAGTAAATTAAAAAGACGTTTCCCTCAATTTCATTAAATAACTTAAGCTTCAATAAATCTTGGTAACCCATATATTTGAAATAGACATTACGAGAAAATATGCTCGTGCGTTGCTGCGGAACTTGAATGTATTAGTCGCAACAAGTATGAATAGTTTCCACACAAAGCAACTAAAAAGACATAGCACCTAACAATCAATGAACAATTAGGACATCTTACTCATATGTGAGAGTCTCAATCCCTATTGAACAAAAGTCCTATTTCTTCTTCAAATTGAATCGACATCATTGATCAAGCAATTAAATATTCCTACTGGCAAATAATTGACCCAAGAGTTGAGCAGATATATAGGGATTGGAAAAAGGGGACACAATTAAACTATATAAGGTCAACACAACTCTTCGAATTAAACTATATATCTAATTTACCAGAAAACTTTGTAAAATTACCTAATATAAGCACTTAATTTTCATATTTAAAACAGTTTACCCATTCTTGATAAGTAATATATAGGTAATTTTCCTATTTAAAACAGTTTACCCATTCTTGATAAGTAATGTATAAGTTAAACTTAATTTATTAACAGCTTAATGCAGTTCAAAAGTATTTTCTATTGTGGCGAGAAGGAGAAGCTATAGCCAACCCGCCTTAACTTTTTACTTTTTCCAGATGCATATGTATAGTTTATCTGCACCCTCATACCATGTGTCTTGTGCTGTTATCTATCCTCCACTTCTAGCATTTTCGCTCTTTTGCACAAGAACCTCGACAGCAAACGATTTCATCTATTACCAGTTAATGAAGATGTCTTCTGCACGACTAGACTACAAAGAGGGAGAAAAAAAATAGGAAGACTTTAGATGCGGTCTTTAGTTATGAATATTTTTTGATTGAAACCTTGTTGGTTTTTAATTTTTAATCGAGGTCTCTGAAATTAATGTGATAATTTATTTCTATGTATGTTACTATATTTTTTAAATTAAAAATTAGAAATTTTAGTTGTTTATATAAATGACATTTTAAATAAAAAAACCATAATTTGTGGGATTAAAAATATTAAAATATAAATATACTATTGTGTGTGTGTGTGTATATATAAACATGGGTACATTCATCAAAATTAACCAAAAAATTTATTGTATCAAAACATGGCTACATTCTTCAAAATCACAAAAAAAAAAAAAAAAAAAAAAAAAAAGATATTAGGCTTAATAACATTACTAAATTTCTTTGATTAAACTTGACATGGATACATTTTAAAATCAAAGAAAAAAGAATGTACCCATATAAGTTTAAAAATGGATTAGAAAAAAATTGAATAGATTTTATATATAAAAAAAAGAGGGTACATTTTACATATAACAAATTGGTATATTTAAGAATGAGTACATTTTAAGATTAAAAAGTTTTACCTGAATGGGTACATATAATTAGCATGAGTACATTTAGCAAAATAAAAAGTACAAATAAAAAAATATTTATGGGTACAAATACAAATAAACTTTAAAATATATGGGCACAAAAAGAAATTAATATACGGGTACAAATTAAAATTGAAAAGATAATTGGTACAGGTTAAAAAAGAATTACAAATTAAAAATGGGTACAAACTAAAACTAAAAAAATATGATAAAAAATTTAGTCATAAATATAAATATACTAATTGTAACATTTTTAACATTAAATGAATGTATTTAGAAATAAAAAAAACATATTTTATTATTGAAATAATTAATGATGCTATTAATACCCAATGACCTTGATCAAAAATTGAAAATGAATTGAATTTTAATCAATGGAGTAGCAAAAAGAAGGATGAGAATCTAATTTTCCCAAAAATATATTAGGAAAACGCATTATCCTCAAAATCATCACCCTAAAGATATTTTCAAACAAATCACAATCCATTACACAAAGTACATCCAACTCCAAGGCATGACTAAGCAAACACACAAACAGTATAAAAACCCAATAAAAGTAGAAGTGTAACAATATTGTTATGCATCTGGATTTATTCTCATAGATCACGAATATAAGAATTTGATGATCTTGTTACTCAAGTTTCAAGGAAAAATGAAAAAATTTCAATGGTTAAAATTAATCCTTATGTAAATGTATTCCCCACATCTATATCATTCAAGTACAACGAAATTCAGAGCAAGTCCACCGGAGTGGACTTTGCCCAACACTTAGTCCAAATAGCAGCCCATCACCCTGTCCATGTCCTCTAGCCCGCGCAACAGCCTGGCACCCAGCCCATGCTGGTCTCTGGGCCAGCACAAAACAGGCTGACCAATAAGCCGGGCCATTTGCTGGCGCATGGCCATGTGGCCGATCCTGGGCTCTTAGATTTGAATATTTTTCAAATCCAACGGTCCAGATTAATTAACTACATTAAAATTAATTAAAAATATATAAAAAAAATACAGTAAAATTTTAAAAAAGTTATTTTTTTTTCTATAAATACCTAACCCTCATCTTCCACCTTACACTACATTTATTTAGTGTGTTTTTTTTAAGTTTATTTGATAAGTATGTAATTTTATTTTAGTGTGTATTTTTTTTAAGTTTATTTGAAATTTTATCCAAAATTGGTTAAAAATCTTATCTGAAATAAACTTAAAAAAAAAAAAACACACCAAATAAGTGCGCTGAGTGCCATCGCATTTTTTTAGGAGTGGAGATACCTTGGCCTATTACTATTCACTCCAGTCTATTAATGTTCACTTGAGTAGATAAATGCGCTGGGTGCTAGCGCAAAGTCTTTAGGGGTGGACTCACTCTCAATGGTTTCAACCAAAAAAAAAAAATCCTGATTGACTTGAGTTCGGGATATTCGAGTACAACGTAATTGAAATCTGTGCAAGAGATTCTATGAAAAAATAACATACAAACAAAACTTAATTGAAAGTAGAAAGAAACACTTGGACATGAGAACCGAAACTAATATGGGGAGTGATATCCACACACCTCATTTTACTTCTCACACACCCTTCTAATTTTCTGCCGTCGGATTTGGTGAATTGAAGAAGATCAACGGACATAAATTAACAAGGAGTGTGTGAGAAGTAATTTGGAGTGTGGATAGCACATCCCACTAATATTTGTAAGGGGTATAGTTTACTCCCATTATCATACTTTCTTTCTCTCATTGTCACAATCCCACCCACCGAATCGAAGATCCACACAAATGGGTGACATCCTCACTCACAATTTTTCTCTTCTCTCCCTATTGGATAAACACATTGTACCATAAAATGGCTTTACATCAGAGAGGGAGCGAGGGAAGAAAGAGAGTGCAAAGAGAAAGAGAGCACACAGAGTCAGAAATCTTGAAACATCCCAACGTTACAAAAGGAGTAGTACAAAGTGAGCACCAATTATAGCGCACCTGTACAAAGAGCATATCACTCACCAGCTAATCTAGCTTGAAATGATAGGGAACGAACCTTGACTGAGATCTTCAATCCACTGAGACTGCCCAAATAAATAGACAAAAACACAATTAATAAACACAAGGACAAAGAACCTGAGAAGCAGAAACAAACTTGAATGCACAAAAATTTTGTGCAAGTAAACAAACATCCAGTTGTATTGAGACTTGAATGATCCATGTTTTCTAATATAAGTAAACCCAACCATGAATTTACAAAAAAATTTAGGTAGAATTATTAACATAAGTCAGAAAAAAAGACACAACTTTGCAATTAAATTTCTTAAATAACTTAAACCCGACAAATTTAACTAATTAGATTCATCCACAAAGTAGATTTTAAAATAACCTCAAAGAGTTTCTTCTAACCAAGCAAACCATTACTCAACAAAAAACATCTAGTAAAAGCTCATATAAAAATCACAATATTGTAATGAATGGGAACTTCAAAATAATCTCAGAAGTAGCATCTCAAAGCAATAAAATGTCAAAATCTTACCCTTTTTTCTCAAAATTTCCATTCAAGGGAAACTCCACCTAAATTTAAGGTAGAAGATTTGACAAACTAAAAAAATGTAAAATTACGAAATTATCTGACCTTTTTTAAAAATCACAGAATAAACATTTTCCATCATCGTCACAATCATTTTGGGGAACCAAATCTTAAGAAAAATAAGAATCTCCCTATTTAGTTCACTTCTTCATAAGGAATAATCTTATATAAAAGAACTCGAAACATATTCAAGGTAGAGCAAGCTAAGGATTTAGAAGATAAAGACCCTTTTTTAGCAACATCTAATTTAAGCATTAGTTTATAGTGCATGAATACAATATATAACACTACCAAACAAAGGAGTTGAAGTGGAGAATGAAACACATAGAGACTGATTAACAGAATAAGAATCATTTACCCTTCCCTATGCAAAAAACATAACCAAAATCCCAACATTCTCAAAAAACTACAGCCATTTTTACAAATTTCCATGAGCCAACACTGGAAAATGCAAATGACAAAGCAACATAGAAGGAGGCAGACAAAAGAAATCAAAGAACCAAACACTCTCTTCATTAGCAAAATCGTTTGAGAAATCAGATGAAAATAAGCCAAAGAAAAAAAAATCAAATCTTAAAAGGACCTTGTTCCGCAAAAGGAAGGATGTCGAGGCTAGTGGGAAGCTCCACCAATTCCGCCATATTTGCAATTTGTAGAGAGAGGAAAGAAGAAGAAGAAAAAGAAAGGAGAGTTAGAGGAGGAGGTAGAGAACAGAGACATAACCAAATAAGTGCCTAAACCAATAACGGAAAAAAACTTAACACAAAATAATGGATGTCGTTGTAGACCATTTTAAATGAAACGATTAAATATTGAGAAGTACTAATTGTCAAACTAACCTGACGAGCTTCTTTTGCTGAAAATTCATAACTACAACTTATTTTCAATAGAATCTCCAAATGGAAAGTTAACCTCCGAACGTTTGCATAACCTGAAGAACTTCCTCATGCACCACCAAGTTCCCAAAAGCAGTCATTTGACAACGATTCAAAGTGAAATAAAGTGAATTCGACATAGAAACTTCTGTAATTTCAAAACATGTTTCCTAAAATTACTCGCCTATAGAGTAATGTCACAAACCCACTTATTAAAATCGATTGCCCCAACTAAAATTCAACACGAACACAGAGAGATTAAATGGTTAATACCAAAATCTTGTCCCAACTGTAATTGATAACCTGCCCCCTTCCGGTTTAAACTTTATAGGATGATTCTTTAACCCTAGTTCTTGTCATTCAGTGAAGAGTCATAACACATACAGACATTAAAGTTGAAATCTTTTCGAAGCAGATGAAAAGGGAATACGTTTCGGCCCTTTGAGTTATTGGAAAAAAACCCAACAGAGCAAAAGCCTCTAACTCCAAAGACTTGTGGGATTTTGAAGAGAGCAAGAGAGAGAGAAAATATCAGAAGAAATAAAGCAAGAGAGGGGGGAACCAAAAGGGGCAAGAAGAAGAAGAAGTAGTAGTAGCAAAAGCGAAGCAGAGGAAGAAGAAAATAAGGGAAAAAAAGGACGATTGAAATTAATGCATCAAACGACGATTGAATCGAGAGTTATGGAACAAATTTGTACTTCACCAACATGTAGAAAAGCTTGGATCTTTGAAGCGAAACGAAGACAATGAGTGCTTTGCGGCGGAGGCCGAGTTCACTCAGAGCGGATTCGTCGTCGTCGTCGTCCTCCCCAACCTGTGAAACACTCAAACGTCATAATGGATGGATGGTTACAGAGAGAGTTAGGAGAGAGAAACTCCAAAATTTTAATCCGGCCCTAAACCCTTATTACTCTAAAGCCACTTTAAAGACCCCAAAGCAGAAAGGGGTATACTCAATACCTGAATTAAGAGACGGATATGCCAAACTATAAATCTAAACCATTGATCAAGTAAACTTTTGCGAGAATGTGTGGTCGATATACACTGTCTGGCAACATAACCACCTATGTTGCCAGAACGTCTAGCAATAGGGCATTACGCTACATATTCAAAAGTTGAGAAACCATGGGAGAAGGAATGACTTAGGTAAAATATGGAAATCACAACCCAAAACACAGATTGACAAATGTTATCATTTCAGATTTTCATAAACAACACAGCAGATAAGGAAGAGTAAAGAAAATTAGAGAGAAATTCGAACAGAGTAAGGAAAACTAACTATGCATAGACTTACCATAATCACCAATAATAAGGTAGATTAACAAATCCTATCATTTCAGATTTTCACATACAACATAGCATAGCAGATGAGGAAGAGTAAAGAAAATTAGAGAGAAATTCAAACAAGAGTAAGGAAAACTAACTATGCATACCATAATCATCAATACTATTCCACGAAAGATATATACATTTGGTGACAATCATACATTTGATTCCTACAATATTTCATGTCTTGCATAAAAATTAGAAATTAAAAATAAAAACACAACAAAGAAAAGGGTACCTCATACTTTCCCTGCAGCTTCTCTTCAAAAGGCAAAATGCTTTAGATCCTAAGTACCAAGCCAATATAAAAGCAATTCAACAATTATCAAAGAAAATCAACCATGCATGGAACAAAAATTAGAAATTAAACACTTATCAAAGCTTGTGAAGAATGCTAAATCCAACTAAATCGAAACATAAAGTAACCCGAAAGTAATAAAACTTATAAATTCTATATAAATTATAATCTTTTGGAGAAAATCTCCAATATCCATTATCCAATTAATTGTATTAAAAAACCTAGCAAATCTCCATTAAATTAAACACATCTTGCAGTAAAGTATCCATCTTTTCACAGTAAGGCAATACAAAGATCATGAGCAAGTAAATCTGGAACACTACCATCAAAATTCCAGCAATCAATAACCATACTTATAAATTTGGACAAACTTACAGTTGCTACAGCATTTGACAATGATCAGGCAAAAACTGAATCTTTCGTGGAGTCACAGATGTTCTATAAAAAAAATGAATAATTGAATTAATTGATTAAATTTACGGAAGAAAAAGAGAAGAGGGGAATGGAGGAGATCAACAGAAGGAGACGAAATCAAATTCAGAGTTTGAGAGTCAATTGCTGAATTTAGATGAACTGACCTTTTTGATCACAGACAGTCAAACTGGAATGCACAGGGAGAAGCAGAAGAAGAAAAAGAAGATGGTTCTCAGATCAGTACATCAGAACTCCCTGCAAAACCCCAAAATCAGAAGATTAGAAAAAAATCCAAAATCAGTGGCATGGTCCTCGTTTCTCTATTAATCAGTAGCTAATGACCTAATGAAAAAGAACCCAAAACATATTGCTTAAATTATGGAAAGTGCTTATAAAGCTCATGAATAACTTTCAGAGCCTGCATAGAAATGGTATAGCGCAGATAACAACAGACAATAAAACTATGCACAGTATAACCTAAATCCAATATGTTACATTCCACACACACACATATATGTCAAAAACTCGAAATTATTATAGAGTAAGGACAACTATATTATACAATTAACTTTGAAGTGTTATCCATTGGTAAATTTTCAGTATTAATTCTATTGGTTTATCCATAAGAAATTAAGAATCCAAAACTGCATCAATTCTTCCATTTTCTGAGCAACCAAACAAGGGATAACATAAATTGCAAGGTAAGAGAGAAAGATGGAAACCTGGAGGGCTTAGGAGAAGCGTTTCCGCTTTCGGAAGTCGTGAATGATGCGCTGAAGCTCGGTGACTCGGACTTTGTTGCCATTGTAGACCCAGTAGTCGAGCTCTAGAACCACATTCAAGCTAGGGTTTCCGAGCGGGCTGATTTTGTTGTAAAGGGTCGGCTACTTGGTCCTGCTCGCTATCGCATTTCGGATTAGGGTTCTTGCAAAGAGCTTTGGATCCATGATTTGGGGTTTAGGGATTTTGGAGTTGGGGGAGAAGAACCAGAGATGAAGCAGCTGCAAATTGGGTCTTAAGCCTAACTGGCATATTTGTAAATAAAGATATAGTTGGCTAAAAGCATCCGAGTGGCAGTCTTGTAAATAAACTAAAATGCGGTCTAAAACACTTTTCATATGAATAATGCAATTTCCCCCTCCTGCTTAGACTAAAACACTGTTCATATGAATAGTGCAATTTCCCTTCCTACTTTAGACTAAAGTAATGATAAAAAAAATCAGTGGAATGATACACTTTGCTTCTTAGGTATGTGCATGAGTATATCTTATTTTGTTCTGATTGAGATTTTAAGGGAAAAACTCTAGTGTAATAAAGACAGTTTGTACTGATCCATCATACTACTTTATTTGTACAATTGATTTCCAAATTAAGGCATAATACTAGTTTATTTGTACTGATGCTTTACACATACGTCAGGGAAAGACCGATGATCAAATAAATTGGAGAGTGCTTTTGTGAGGTTAAGGGAAAACCTCCGGTGTAATAAAGAACAGTTTGTGCAAGGTGTTCGTGGCTAGAATTTCTGTCGGGGATGTCTCCTAGCCGACGAGCACACAGCTCCCCGAGGGGTTGGCGCCGGTTGATGTTTTCTGTCAGGCTTCTACTTCACTGGCGGGCTTGTCAGGCAAAGCTTGTCGGGCAAGGCTAAAAGAGAAGGACAGGGTTAACTTTGAAATGTGCCTTTATGGGGCCTTAGGTATAGGCCTTGAGGCTCACAATCAAGATTAACTTTTAAGTGCTCAAGCGTGCCACTGCCATCTCTAGCATGGCAGATGTAGAATGGATGTTGAGTTTTAGTTGTACATATACCCGAGAGGTTGTGTTAGTTATGACAGGTGCCTTTGTAGGGCCTTAGGTGTAGGCCTTGGGGCTTCTGATCAAGAACTAACCCAGTACTCGAACATACGATGTCTGTTTTATTGTTTGCAGAAGTGTTATAACCATTATACTTCTGATTATCCGAGCCCGCAGAGCAGAAGGAACCCAAATAGGTGCCTTTGTAGGGCCTTAGGTATAGGCCTTGAGGCTTCCCATCAGAATTCCTTCTATACTGAAACGTTCTACTACAATCATAATATAATAGAAATAAAACTAAGAGATCAATTGATTACTTGCGCCTTAAGTAACTTCGGAGTTCTTGTTATCAAAGCTTGTCGTGAATGGGTTAAGTCCACATAAGGTTCTTTTTTATGCCTTGAGGCCAAGGACTTTTGAATGATCAATCTTACATGCCCGAAAGCTTAGAACTTAGATCTGGTTTGAACTGTGAAGACATATTCAAATCGGATTCAAGCATTGAAAGAGTTTTTTAATAGTCATCTTACTAGAAATAACTTGAATACAACTTGAAGTATACAACATATTGCTAGGCTAATGAATGAAAAGACAAATACAAAGAAGGTCGGGCAAGGTTTAACCTTGTCGGGCAAGGCTGGTCGTCTTGCAACTTCCTATCTTTGTAATTTATCAAGGGGTTTGAGAGTTTTTAGAAAGGGGGTAGAGAGATGAGTTTACAGAAAGAAATCGATACTACAGCAAGCTTAGGACAAGGTAGCAGAGCTATTACAAAGGCTTTTGGTAAGGGTTTATCCCGAAAAGGATGAAGGCTTGGGCTGACTACAACTTCGTTTGAAGGCAAATCTGGCTTTGAGCAGAGTTTGTGCTTGTATTTGTTTGTTTGATTGAGTGTCCTCAACTCTGATTTCTCTTTCTTCTTTTATAGACACTTTAGCTTGGCCTCATGTGGCAGTAATCTTGCTCGAATGCAGTTTGAAGGATAGTGACTCATCAGCTATTTACTTGTACTACCACTGTAAAGTACTTTTGGGCTGATTAGCTGGCTGGTCTATACCACTTGGTCGCTAGGCAGGTGAGCAAATGGTGTAAATGATTTGCACCTAGTCGGGAAAAGCCTTTTCTGCCTTCTGGGCTTGGGCTGGACTTCGGGCTTCTCTCCTCTTTTTGGGCCAACTCCCTTTTGAGCCCAAAATTTAAGTTTTAACCCAAACACAAGGTTAATGCCTATTGTCAAGTATCTAGATTGAAATCATTGATGTATTTATATGAACTTGTTAGACTGATTGAGATGTTTACAGGGAAGGCTAAGATTGGGAAGGTGTCCCATGACCATAAAGTCAAGGATGGTGTGCTTGAATCGGCCCTCTTTGTGGTCCCTCGTGTTTTCAAATAATTTTGTATTTAACTACATCATATGATCTTTAAGATATATATTGGATGCATATTCCTTTTCTTTTCTTTTTTTTTTGTTGGGTAAATTCTATTTTCATTTGTACGGTTTTAGATCAGCCCCCTTTAAATTAGTAGGTGTGTATAAAAGTATTTGATGTGTGCTGGATGAATTATGCTTGGACTGGAAACAACACAAGTGGATATAATAAGTGGGATGTGGTTTACAAAGGTCTCTCTGTCTCTCTCCCACTTTATATATAATTGTATCGAATTACCTGGTTGCAAATAAATGGCAATCCTAATTTCAAAGTTGTTTTCTTATAAGTTTTGGTTGTGGGTGTTTAATGAATGGAGACCCATATGGTGGCCACGAGTGGTGGCAATCCTTTCAAGTTGTTTTCTCAGAAAATGTATTTGTCTTATCCATATTCTTTGCCTATTCATTATTATTTTTTCTTCCTTTATGTGTATTTTGGTGTGCACTCGAGTCTTTTCTCACACTATGCTTTATTGCTTTATTTGAATTTTTTTTTGCAGTAATGACAATTTCTCTTGTTCAAGCTTCTACCTCAAGTTGTATTTCTACCTTAAGGTCAAGGACTCCAAGATCCTTCTTTTTGGTGGCTCACTAAATAACTTCAAGAAATTTGGTTGAAATGGTAATCCCAACTTCAAGTAATTGTTTATTAAGTACAATTATTGCATATATATTAACCGATGAGAGAATTCAAGTAATGTTTTTGAGTCTGTTTGTTGTTGTCAGTGCTTATTGATTTTCAATACTATTGAATGTTCGTGATTTACATTGTTTTTAATTGCAGTTGTTCATAGGTTAATGACATGTTCATAGTATTAACTTTCAGAGGTGTTTGGAGGTGTTCAAGAAAAAGTAAAGTCTTTCAACTGACAATTTCCTTGTTATTTGAGGCCTAGTTGATGCTTCATGTGTAGTTTGATATTTCCTAGCATAAATCAATGATGGTGTTGTTAGCTTTGTACAATTTGTATTTTTTTTTTTGAATATGTGATTATTTTAAAAAATTTGTACTAGTAACTTTCCAATTTTGTGGGTTTATATATATTATTTTGGAAATTTTTTTTATAACGGGCATTACTCGTGGTAAATTAGTAATCCACAACGGTCATAATACACGTTGTGAAGCAAAAAATAATCACAAGGCGACACGTGGATTTTTTGACAAAAGAAGACAAAACTACCCTTGGAGCATACCGGGATTCCTATGCGCAAGCAGCATGCAATTATCCCTTAACCAAGTCAAAAGTGCCAAAAATAGGTATCAACTTAAAATCTAATTTATTCATATATTTCCTATTTCATTATTTAGCTAATCAATTAGCTAAATAAATATACTTATTCCATGTTTCCTAAAACCTTTTTTTAAAAAACCATAATAATTGACTAATTAAGAGATTAATTGCCTAATCAATCCCCTAATTGGCAAACAAATCACCCCAAAATCATGCTAGGGTCCGGCCAATCCCATAAAAAAATAATCCATCTTATTCTCCACCTTTTCCACCATTTTCCCTTTTTAATTACCCTAATTAAACCTAAATTAAACCCAAAAACCCTAGCTAGGCCGGCCACCTCCTATCCCTATAAATATACTCCCATTCTCACAAAAAAGCCACTTTCAACTCTTGCTAAAAATTCTCTAGAATTCTCAAACACCTTTTCTCTCTAAATTCTAACTTTGGCATCGGAGATTCTTCGGCCAAAGCCCGTCATTCATCGTGGGCGCATGAGACTTTTGGCCTTGACCTAAGGTGTTAATTGTTTTGTAGGTGCAATTTTGTCCAAGATCAAAGAGGAAGAAATTTGCATCCACAAATTGGTGCTTTCATTGAGAGTTGAGATCCATGCTCGTAGAAGACTCTCGCATAAAAAGCTTTTTTCTCTATTTTCTAGTTCATTTGAATATTTTTCATATGTTCTTATTGTTAGAATTTTTTATTTGCAAAGGTTCTTTGATAAAACATATAAGAAAAATATAATGGCTAGAAATTTAGAAAATTCCATAAGTGAAAATTCTAGTACCCAAGAAATGGGACTGCGGCGATCCACGAGGCTAAATGTGGTCATAAACGGAGTGGTACCACCACTACAAGTTTCCACCATGGCCCAAGCCGTGCCATCCAAGCTTGCACGGGTCAGCCCAAGCCTTGCATTCGTATGCATCACGCGCTGAGCAGCCTGTTCCCAACGAGCAGCCCACTCCCATGGTCCAGCCTGCTCCCGACGAGCAGCCCACTCTCGCGGCCCAGCCTGTTCTCGTCGATCAGCCTGCTTTCATGGCCCAGCCTGATCCCGACGAGCAGCCCACTCCCGTGGTCTAGCCTGCTCCCGCCGAGCAGCTCGCTCTCACGGCCCAACCTGCTCTCGCGGCCTAGTCTGCTATCGTGGCTTTCCAAGTAGCCCAAGTTAGCCCAAGACTATCTCAACTATCCGGACCTACCATCGAGCCGGGGGCATTCTCACCACAGTTTTTCGTGGATTTGACATTTCCCAACTCAAATCTCGCGCCCGGAGTCTACCGCTCTTCCACTGCCAAAAGAGGCACATTCCTTCCAAGCTCTTCCAATCCAAATGGCGAACAACACTTGTCTCGACAAGTCATAGAGTTAACGAGCGCCCTTGCACAACAGACAACCTTGGTGAATCAACCTTTACAACGCATCGGGATCCAACGTGCCCCGGACGAGTTATCCCGAAGTAAGACAAGGGCGGACGAACCTTTCCAGCAGTGTCTCGGCAAACAGTCATTTGACCAGCCACGAGCCGAGCGTTCGGGCAGTGTACACTCCCGATTGGGCCCCCGAGATAG